TTTCGATTCGCCGACAGCGAAACAAATTAAACGTCACACGGTTCCTCGTCCAGTACGTCCCGCGTGCATGCGTTACTCGCCCACCCAGTACATTCTCGAGCCACGCTTTCGCGTCTTCTCCTTTCGACGAAACGGATAGAGTAAACGTTGACATAGACCCGGATTAGGGGGTTAACCGAGAAAGGGGAGGAGCGAGAAAACGGAAAAGACGCGAGGAGAAGTGCGCGAAACTGGAATAAATTACGGATCTAAGTGGACGGATCCAGAGGAGTAGGCCAGGTTACCTACTTTCTTTCTTTTTCTTTTCCTTCTTCTAGTGTTTTCTAGCGACGACGCTCCGGTTGGTTTCTCCATTTTACGAAAGGTCGGGAAAGAAGCGAGGAAAAACACGTTCCCTGGATAGAAGGTACGATTCTGTCAGTAGTTACGAGACGGAGCGGAATAAGTCTCGGCGTTTTGCACGAACGCTCCGCGATTACACCTACGCGCGCCGCTCATGTAGGTCAGGTGTCTTCGCTTTATTTTTCCAGCCCGGGTTCTTTTGTTTCACGTACCGTTCCACACGCGTTTCAACGATTATCCGCGAATATCCGCGAGATTAATCCCGGTGCTTCGCGCTATTTTATTACAAATGTATCGAGACGATTTTCGAAGCGAAGTTTGGCATCTGAAGTTTACTATCGCATTTCGCTTGCCCCGTGAATAATCTACGAGCGAATCTACCTTGGAAACTTCGTAGACTTTCGAAACAATGTTCCCTCTCGAAAGTCGTCGAAGAAATATGTGCTTTCAAAGTTCGGCGTTAATTGATTGAATGATTAATGCTCGCTGATTAATGAAATTAATCGCCGGGAAATCGGCGATTGATTTAATCGATAAATAAAATGAAACGTCAGTCATCTAATCAACGAAATTAATCATCGAGAAATTCGGCGATTAATAGAATTAATCGTCAATCTTTTATCAAAGGAAATTAATCGTTAAAAAATCGACGATTTAATCGATAAATAGCATTGATCATCGTAATAATTATCAATTGTTAGTTATTATGTCAAATTTGATTATATTTCATTTAAATTGAAGGTATATTTTGCAATTATATAACAAAGCGTCGAGATACAGAGTGATCTATATACTTAGCTGCAAATTTAATTAGTTAATTAATTTTTTCAAGATTTGTTAAATGAACCAGCAATAATGAAAAACATCAATTCGCTGCATTAGGAATTAATATATATTTCACTGTTCACGGACTTGTAACTACCCAACATTATCTGATTTTTAATGATTTTTAGGATGTTCGAGAAATCATTGCTCTATATAATTTATAACAATGTAACTGAGTCAATTCTTTTTTAATACAGGTGTTCCTGAAGTCGCAGGGTTGAAGAAAAAGAATAACATAAAAAGAGAAAATAATAATAAGATTTCGTTTTTGGGAAAATCGAGTTTGAAAATTGGTAAATATACACGCATGAACTTGGATAATAGAGTGAACAGTCGATAGAAGGTTATTCGTAGCGCAGACAAAATGTAGAGAAAACATGTTCCTCGTTTAAAACTTGATTTTCAAGGAAAATTTGAACACGTCTGGCTGGGAATTATCTACACATGTACCAAGTAAATTTTCAAATTTCATTTTCTCATCTTATGAAAAATTTTATTCCTCATTTTTCACTCGCTCTCGCATGTATAATATATAACCTGTGAATTATTCCCTTTTGTGCACAAAACTGTATTCTTATGCAGTAAATAAAATTTGTATTTATTTAGTTGCTTTATTATATTTAAAAAGCAACTAACTCAATGAACACGTCAAATACACGTGAACATTTATACGTTTTGCGTATAGGCATTTAATTTTTATAAAATATTATATTACGATCACAATGAAATGGAAACACGTTTTCTATTTTATAGTTGTTATTTAGTTATTTATACCATTTAAAATGACTTTTCTCGTCGATGATATCCATTGATATTTCAACGCTTTATGTGTGGAATTAAGTTACCCAGGATATTTTTATTAAATTTTTATATCATTAGATGATTTTTGATATATAACATGGGAAAGAGGAAAAATTTTCTAATAATTCAATATTTTAATATTTGTTATAGAATCGGAACAGAATATCTGCTGATTGCGAATGATCTTTTAGTTACATTCCATTTCGAATATTAAGATATTCGAAAAATAAAGATTCACATAAGGAAAGTTCTATTGTATTATGTTGGTGATAAACTGGGAAAATTAAAACGCAGTTATTATACAAAGTAAGAATGTTAATAAATATTCTTCTACCATGTTAAATATTCTTCTACTATGTTATTTTATTGCGTTTATTGCGTTACAAATGTAGGGAATGAAATCCAAGTGTGTAAAATTATGTATGTATGAATCATGGTTTGAAATAAAAAAAAAGGGTCAGCCGCGTGAAAGAAACACAAGAAACTGAAGACGCGTGTTAAGTGCTTATTTTAATTCAATAAATCTTCCTTCTTAATCTGTTTTTCTATAGAAATGTTCATTTTTTTTTACTATCACGAGTAGATTATGGACTTTTACGCATTTATTTTAAAATTTTTCTAATGCTCAAAGAAGTAGAACCTAAACAGAAACTTATCTTATCTGTAACATATTATAAATACTTTATTTCGAAATAAAATGTAATAAATACTTTACTTTCAATATTTCGTATATTTTTGTACATTCTATGTGAAATATGTGTTTCTGCATATTCCTCCCATAAATGTATACAAAGCCATGCAGTCTTATCATAAGGAATTATTATCATATTTAAGCGATATAAGCATTTATATAAAGTGGTACTTTTAAATACTGTCACGATATAAATTCGAAAATGTTTAAACGGAGAATATATGTACGAAGAAAACTCGCAACAGTCAA